AAGCAGAATTTCCTCTTGAAAAAGAGTTTGAGTTGATGAAGAAGCAAGTTTCCTTGGAGCGTTGGTTACTTGTTCTAGCGAATTTCTTGCCAACTGAGACAGCCTCTGTTTAAGGGCGCTATTTTCACGAACCAATCGATCTTCTGAATATTCCGCCTCATCCAGTAGAGTTTGCTTTTCCCGCTTCAACCTATCAATGTAGTTTGTTTTGTCAAAAACTTCAGTTTTAAGCTCATTGATCATTTGCGTTAGACTTGCTACTACGTCAGGATCTGAGTCAGTTGACTGTCTTGCCAGGTTTGAGCACTGAGCAGAACACAAAACCAGGTTATCCCTTATTATGTCCACATCTCTGGCAAGTCTTGATCTGCAGCTCTTATGGTAAACATTGTGGCACAGTATGCAGACCCAGTTGTTCTGTGTCTTCTTGCAGCATTTAAAGGTAAGAGCCATTTCAGCAGTAGGACAAAAAAAACGTCAATTTGAAATTCTTGTCGAGAATTAATTGTACAATAGCTAGTACATTTGTGAGGTCAACAATAATCCAGTTGAAGTGAAGTCCAATAAATAAACAAATTCAAGCGATATGCAAATTAAATCGATAAGGAATATGGTTTTTTTTATTACATTATAGTCACCAAGAAAAACTATAAAACGGAATTTCCACCATCAATAATAATTCTTCAAACTTGATTTCACAAGGGTATAACACAGAAAAACTTTCTCTTTAATCTGACACTAATTTCAATAATTATTTCGAACTATTACTGTATTTAAACTTTATTTTATTGAGAACAAAAACCAACGACATTCGCACATTGAGAATCAAACAATGATATGGTAATATCAAAGTTTGAGTCCTGGCCTGACTTCACAATAAACTTCCAGGGTCTCCCATTGACTCGTGCAGACTGCATCAAATACCTGCGACTTTTTGTCGATTCAAAACTTACTTGGGATATGCACATCTTGCATATATGTAAAAAGGTTACACCAGCAATTGGAGTACTTGGTCGAATATCGGACTATCTGTCCATCACGAATCGTAAGATGATATACAATTCCCTCATCCATTCTCACATATCATATCTAATTCTGCTATGGGGCAATGCTTCCCTGAACAAACTGCACCCATTGTCAGTTCTCCAAAATCCTGCTATAAAAAAATTGTTTAGGCTGCCATTTCTGTTTCCAACAAAAGACTTATATTATCCGAATGGCATCCTGGACGTTCACTCTCTGTATATCTTGCAATCGTGCATCTTTATCCATTCTTGCAAGACTTCCAATATTCACTCTACAATAAATCTCATCCCAGCCAACACAGTCCATCAGCACAATACCAGACTCAATGAAATCTTAAGAACGTCGGCAATGAACACTACAACTGGCCAACGCAGCATCTTATCAGAAGGACTAAGGTACTACAATCGAATTCCACAACCTGTTAAAAGATTGAACATAACTTGCTTCAAGTGTAAGCTGAAGCAGCTGATCTTTGATGGATACTTTGGGACTGTACAATGAAAGACTTTATCTGCAATTTAGAGCTAAGATATTCATAAATGAAACAACTTTGTGATACAGTACCTACTTGTACTGGATATTTTCTCTTGTGTGATATTGTATAATGTATAAAATAATACGGTATATTGTAATAATGTTATATGTGATACTGAATGACCCGTATAGCTCTCCAGCTCAGGGTCTCTAGTTTAGGTTCATACATATATTGTTTAACTACCATGTTGAAATAAAGGAAAAAAAAAAAAACAAAAAAAAAAATTATTGTTTCTTTATTGATCAGGATTTTGGACATGACATTTTGATATTGAAGTTCATTGATGAAAATGAAGAAAAATATTGCTAAGACATATGTTTAAAAAACTAAAAAAACCCTCGAAAAAACCATATAGAAATCTTTGATTGTTTTTTTTTTTTGAAGACCTGATACATAACATTGTACATAAAATATGTCTAGAATTTTCCACAGAATCCAGAATTTCATAATATACCTACAGGGGGAGGCATTTAAAAAAACATAACTTTGTATCACCACTACTTATTTGACCTCCCTGTATACTGGAAAATAATTTAGCACATTACTCAGTACTCATGTTTATCACGCCTCTGAAATTACTGGGTATCTCTGAGCAGTCCAAAAGATGAATGTCCACAAACTGTGGAAATTTCATTAGATTCTTGCAACTCACTTCTAGGGATTAGTAAAAAAAAATGAATTTTTTTTCTAAGTCGTCCAAGTTCACACCCTGTATCTGGAAGGCGGAGCATTTCCTTTCAGACAAATTAAAAAAAAAAAAAAATCTGAGATCTGTTATCTCTAGAAGTTTGTAACAAACCTTTTGTGACAACCTGTATATGTATTTTTCCTTTCCCAATGATCGCCAAGTGGCATAGTTTATGTTTTCAACGTTGTGAATGTGAATGTCGGTGTCTATCTTGGGAAAAAAATCACTATGTATGTGTACAGGGTGTTTTCTAATTGAATGTCAATATTAAAGGGAGCGATTTTTGAGTCCATTTTGAAAAGAAAATTTCATATGAATGTATGTCCTAAACGTCTAGGACAGGGTTTAGGAAATTTTTTTTTGAAATCGTTTATTCATTCATAAGTATAACAATAATAACAATTATATCCATCTTTGTAATCTAAACAGTATTTAAAATACTGGTATCGACCATAATAAATCTAATATTTATGCAACAGTACTATTGTTATCTACTACACATTATATAACAATAATTATACTATAATAAAACATTTAAAAAGAAAAAAAGTATACATATATTTACCTATATAGTAAAACAGTACAATCACTAATCCATGCTTTACATATCCAAAAACAACCTAACCCTCTTTACAAATCTATTACCCCCAACAATATTTCTTATCTCTAAAGGAAGACTATTATACATAGAAGAGGCTTGATACAATGGATTCAAAATTCCCCTATTTGTTCTAACATGATTAAGGTAGATGTCCCTCTGAGATCGTGTATGGTGTGAATGTATATTGAATGCAAAGTTTATGTGTGTATTGGTTTTTTGTTTTTTATTTATGATTTTATGCATTAACTTGCATTGTTCTAATTTAAGTAGTTTGTCAATCTGACAGACACCCAATTCAGCATATAGATCTTCAGTGTGTGTTAATATATTATAGTTAAAGAGGACTTTAAGTACTTTGTTTTGAAGTGTTTGAACAGTTTTGAGGTTCGTTACACCACAGTTTCCCCATATGGGGAGCAGATATCTAAAGTGAGATAGGAAATAAGAATTGTATACATTCATTTTGGTTTTATGAGTTAAATAGTCTCTATTTTTGTACAAAGCCCCAACCATTGGCACAATCTTGTCCGAAATATGATTTATATGTGCATTCCAGTTAAGTTTTTCGTCTATGATTAGGCCCAGATATTTTACCTTTTCTGCTTTGGCAATATTGATGTTGTTTATTTTTATCGAGGGGGCTCTGATTGTTCTGTTTTTTTGCTTAAATATCATATATTGAGTTTTTTCTGTATTTATTTTAAGTCTATTGCACATCAGCCAATTCATATACTTCTGTAAGTCTGTATTGACTGTAACTTCTAGGTTATGCTCATTTTCCAAACTATATAAAAGTACCGTATCATCGGCAAAGGCAAAATACCTAGCTTGTATTCCTGAGCACTGTAGACTCAGTACATACAATGAATAAAGAAGTGGCCCCAAGACCGAGCCTTGAGGTACCCCGCACTCAATATCTCCAGTATTACTAACATGTTCCCCCATTTTTACATATTGCTTCCCGTTCATTAAGTATGTTTTAATAAGGTTGTGCATTTTCCCTCTGATTCCTAACTTATACAATTTGCTCAATAGTATCTCAAAAGAAACAACATCGAATGCCTTTCTTAAATCTATGAAAACAGCTACAACTATTCTGTTTCTATCTATATCTGCTGCTATAGTATCCATCAAATCAAGAGTCGCACTCAAAGTATTACTATTACTAAGAAAACCATACTGATACATATCTACACTAACAAACCTATTAACAAAACTAAGCATTCTTTTTTTTATGATTTTTTCACAAATTTTTGATAGAGTACTTATAATGGTAATTGGCCGATAATTACTCATGCAATCTTTTGCTCCAGATTTATAAACCGGATTTATTTTACCCACCCTCAATTCTTCAGGAAATACCCCCAAATTAAGTGCATTATTTACAAGTTTAGTTATAATAGGAACTATATCAATTTCCAGGTTAATAATATCTCTCACGGTGATACTATCATGTCCAGGAGCTGAATTTTTTTTTAACTCTAAAATTACTTCAATAATCTCACTAGCATTTGTATTAGCAATGTAAATAGTGTTATCACAGTAAATTTCTGGGAAAATAGCTTCATTTTGTCTATCAGGTACTAGATTTATTATTTCATTATTTAGCTCTCGAACAATATTTTTGCCTATGTTAGTGAAATGTTCATTAATTTTATTTACTATGTCTTTTGAATCCGAAACTATTTTGCTATCAACTATATATTCGTATCATATGAAGTTTTCTTCTTCTTCTCAACTTAATATTGTCATTCAATTAGAAAACACCTTGTAAAGTACCAATAAACAAAGGACTTAAATTTGACTACAGTTTTTACTATGTAAAAAAATTCACTTCTTATGTTAGGCATGTTTAATGACCCAAAACCCAGGATATGCTTTTTGGGCTTTGTTTATCGGGTAAATAATAAAAGAAATCTCGGGCATTGTGCGAATTCAAATGTTTCCGGAGGATGGGTTGAAACTTGAAACGAAACATATCCGGAGCAAGGGTAGCCCTGCCCCTAAATTATCTCCTAGCCAGGTGGAAGGAAACAAAGCCAAATGGGATAAATATTCGGTGATAAATGTTAACATTTTAATCAAGTAGTTTATAATAAAACATTTCGAGTGAAAAATTTTGGAGGGAAAAATAGCAAAGGGATACTTACCAACGACATCGTTGAACCGAATCAATCTAGCTTTGCTAAAAGACATATTTGACGATTTATTACTATACTAATCACAACAGACAACGTTTTCACAATAAAATTAACAAATTTCGAAAAAATAAACTTAAAACTAACAATACAACAAATAAAGACCGTTAAAATTAGGCGCCTGTTTTCAGTTTGACTGATTTGAGTGCTTTGACCGATTTGACTCGTGTGTTTGAATCGCAGTTGTCACTCGTCAGTGCAGTGTTGCCACTTCTCATTGGTGATTTTCATTTGTATCTATAAGCGCTTTTTACAACGTTTCGAGAATGACATTATATTCCTTTCAAGAGTTTAAAACACTCGAGCTACTCGCTCCGGTGTTAGTTGCCCGTTGCCCCCGATTTGAAAGGAACAGATGCGTGGTGCAACAAACACTTTTTGAAAGGAATAAGCGCGTAACGCCTCGGAGCTGTTCCGGAGCTCCTCCTAGGAGGTGTGAAGGGAATACAATAGTCTGTTAATTTTTAAAGAAAAAAGTCAAAATTACATTATGTTGGCAATACAATGTTAAATTGTCAATGCTTTCAATTTTTTCATGTAGAAAAGGCTTGTGTTGCCAACAGAATTACTAAATTTTTGACTTGGGGAATTATCTTTTAAAAAAAACAAGACTTTCGTTATATTCCTTTCAAAAGTTTAGAACGCTCGAGCTACTCACTCCGGTGTTAGTCGCCCCTGATTTGAAAGAAATAGATGCGTGGTGCAACACTCTGCAGTCGAAACTATCGATAGTTCTCCAACACTATTTTATTTTCTGAGGTTCCAAACTGCTTTCCAGTGCCTAAATTGTTAGAGTATCATGCTCCTGGAGTGTGACGCTCTTGAACTGTTCGTCAAAAGCACCACTGGAACGCTTTCGTCTCAACCCCCACCATTTCGGACTTCAGGAACATGGAACATCGAAATAAAGGTTGGTGCACGAGGGGGCAGGGGATAACAGAAATGAGTAGTTCAAGTCTACGACACTCTAAGCACTGGAAAGTGACTGGCACGCGCAAAGTAATTGTGGAGCACTCCTGAGCTGCTCAGGAGTAACTCAAATGGGTCACTGGAAAGCACCTCTGGACAGGTGGTGTATTATCGATAAATGATGATGGGTTGGAAGCATCGATATTTCGATAGTCAAAACTATCGATAGTTCTCCAACACTCCTATTTTCTGGGGTTAGGAAAGTTCTCTCTCATAATAAGTATTTACTTTTTTTTCGTTTTTTTATTCTTATAAATAGAAAATAAAAATTATTAAAGTAAAGAACATTTTGTTTTTCAATCCTTTTTTGTTGAATTTAAACCAACCTAGATATTTCATTGTATGCCAGATATAAAAAAAGAGTAGTTTTTTCTGCATCTGCTTGCAACTGGTAGGTATGTGAGGAGGATTCAAATAAAAAGAAAACAAGGTAGGAGGCCCAACCATGTATTATTTTTTCTTGTTTTTAGTAGTTTTAGTAGTTATAGGTGCATCTCCTTCATACAATTTTTCTGATTATTTTAATTTTAAAGTGAATATCAAACTATTATGGCAAACACTGCTGGGAGCGTCAAAGAAATTTGTGATAATGTCGCTTTAGCAAGAGAATTAACTGTGCTGGGAAGCTACGAAAATGCTATTATCTACTATCAAGGATCCCTTCAACTCATGTCGAAATTTATTTCTCAAATATCTGATCCTATAAGAAAAGATAAATGGCAACAAGTGAGTACCTAAGGTAAAGTACACAGTTGTTGACATGTTAAGGGTATCCTTGCTTATGATCACCACACATTTTCCAAATTTTCAATCCCAAGGCTATGATATATTTTTTAGCGTGTTTTTTTTTTTTTTGAAAATAATCCTTTATTATTTCTTTATAATATGTTAACAATATTTAACAGACTCTCCAATCAGTGCTGAAGGCGCTGGCCTCGAGAGTATAATTAATAAACATTTAACAATTAACCATACTTAAAACTAAAATAACATAATTATTTATTTTTCTAGCAACTAGCAACAAGATTTAATTATTTTTTATTTTATTCCTAGGAATGTTTTCAGTCTCCCAACGAACACATTGTAGTTATTTATCAGTCTTAGACTTTCCGGTAACGAATTATACAGTTTAGATACTTCGTGAATTGGGCTATAAAGACCTACATTTATTCGACTATAGTTCAGATATACATTATTATTATTTCTCGTATTATGACTATGTATTTCGTTGGTAAAGGTTATATTTGTATTTATTTTTTGTTGTTGTAAGATAATTTTATGCATTAGTTTACCCTGTTCAAGATTTAATATTTTCTCTAACCTGCAGAGACCTAACTCACTGTATAGGGTATCTGTGCTTGTAAGTATATCATAATTGAATAAAATCTTTAAGACCTTATTTTGTAAAATTTGAATTTCATCAAACCTAGTTCTAGAACAGGTACCCCATACTGGCAGTAGGTAACGCAAATGGGACAAAAAGAAGGCATTATAGATATTCCTTTTTGTTTTGATAGATAGATAATCTCGACATTTAAAGATAATGGGCATCATTGGAACAATTTTATTTTTAATTTTGTTTATGTGGCTTTGCCAATTTAACGACTCATCAATAATTAGTCCAAGATATCTAATCTCAGTAACCATCTCCAAAATTGTATCATTAATTTCAATATTTGTACTTTCAATCCGTTTATTTTTTTGCTTGAAGAGCATATATTTGGTTTTATAGCTCGAGCAGTCGTACCGGACGGTCGTGTTTGGCAGCTCCGAGAGTATTGCAAATTTGATTTGTTTTGAATTGATTTGTTTTGTTTTGCATCACATCATTGTGTTTGTTTTCGTTGTGCTGTGCGCGTATTTTTGTAAATTTTTGTAAACTTGGCCTAATTACCTTGCCATTGATCCAGTTCTTCAAAGTTAAAGTTTAATGCAGAATTTGTGTTTGTTTATTTTGCATTTACAGAAAGTTTGGGGAATAAAAATAAAAATGGAAAGTGTCATTAAAAGGCCGCTTTTACTGTCACTTGGGGAAGAAAAAATAATAAATTAGTTTGAAATTCTTGGAAGAGCTTTCGCATGGACGGAGATTTGAAACTTATCTACCTTATAAAGGCACATTCTAAGTTTGAGTATGGCTTCTATTAAGTGTGAAACCTGTTCGAGTGACTGTGTTTTTAAGAGCCGCCCAAAGGAGGATGAGGTTTTTGGCTCAGCTTGCGACCTATGTCAACAAGTTTTCTGTAAATTATGTGCTCAACTAACAACCACAGAGGCTCATGCTGTCTCCCTTGCCCAAAGAAATTTGATTTTTTTCTGCCAAGGATGCAAGATATTATTGAAGGAGCATATTAGCGACTCAACAAAGTATAAAACACTCTTGGAAAACTATGAGAAAATAAAACAGGAATCTGCTGAAAAGGATAAAAGGTTCGAGGAGCTGGAGGACAAATGCTTCAAGGAAACGCATGAACTTCAAGACGAAATTGATGAGCTTCATGCTGATAATAAAGCTAAAGCTGATCACATTAAGAGGATTAACAGGAGAACGCAAGATTTTGAGAATATCGCTTGCAACACAGAACAGGAACTTGCAGCTAAAATTAATGATCAAAAAGGAGAAATACTTCAACTTAATCAGAATGTATCCAATCTTTATCACTGTTAATTTGGACTTAGATAAACAGCTTAAGGAATGTCGATTAACTGTCAGTAGACTTGAAGGGGATCTTGGGGACATAACTGAAACCAACAAGAATATGCTGACCACCATCCAAGTGCTCTCAGAAGAAAAGAAATCCTACTTAGAAGAGCTGAAGAGTGCGAAAGTAAACCTACTACATGCTAAAGAGGAATTAAAAACAACTAAATCTAGGTGTGATAGTTTGGAGATGATAGGGCATCAACAGTCTTTAATTGGAGCTAGACCCTCAGAAGATCTTGCAAAGTGTTGTGAACCCACTGCCGCAGATGACTCATTTACTCTGATAAATGACAACAGTGTGTTGAAAGACTGCATCACCCTGGATAAAGAAATGGAAACTGCGAGACATCGGGCGAATGCTTCTTATTGTGTGCCCAGGAAATGCATTGTTTGAGGAGACTCCAGCGCAAGATCCCTGTCCACGACTATGTCTAAACTTGTGAATTCATCTCACATGATAAAAGGGTATGTTTATAATGGACTTAATATGAAAAGTCTTGTGGAAAGGATGTTCTTATTATCATTTGATTTTACTGAAAAGGATACAATTGTTGTAAGTTTAAATTTAAATTCTACATCCCCTAGTATCGCTGATATTGGGAGGATCCTTTCTATGGGTAGTACCACGAATTTAGTATTAATGTTGAAGTGTAATTTTAGGGATTATCCAGAGGCAAGATTTCATAAATTGAGTGGGTTTGTGTCAGAATATGTTCAAAAAAATAATTGTAGTATAAGACTAATTTCAAATACATGTACAAATTCTAGATACAGACACACACTTCGGTCGCTGAGCAAACTGCTCGCTTTGTATGTTGAAACTAGTGTAGTTCTTGGTAGAAAATTAGTTTTGAAATCGGTTCCGATTACCGTTGAATGTAGTGCCTCTCCTTTTTATGTCCAAAGTTTGGATAGTCATGTCAGTAATTGTATGCAGGGAGACTTGGATAATAGTAATATTGAAATTCAAACAAAAAGCCTCAATGCACTAGTCAATACACCTTTTTTAGACAGGGGTCAAGTGGTAAAAAACTTGACCTAGTGTTGTTAAATATACAATCTTTGAGAAACAAAGTTTCAGAATTGGAATTGTTTTTAGCTGATTTAAACTACCCAGGCATTGTTCTTCTCACTGAGCACTGGTTAAGGGATGATGAGCAGATATTTTTGCAACAGTATAGTTTAATATCTAAATATTGTAGGTCAGATGCAGTGCATGGTGGAACACTCATAATGGTACAGCAGAGATTGTTTGAAGTATTTAAAATAATCAATGTAGATAGATATAATAGTTTAATAATTGAAAAGGAATTCGAATTTTCAATTGTGTGTTGTTTGCGACCTTTGTTTTATGTTTTGTGTATCTATAGACCTCCTTCAAGCAATGTTGATGCGTTTTTTGCCAGATTGGAAAAACTTTTAACAAGCCTACCTTTGAATGCCCTAATAATATTGACAGGAGATTTAAATATTAACTTTTTAGATACAGGATCGGCTTCGGTGCAGACTTTGAATGGCTTACTCTCCTCTATTAATTTAAAAGTACATGTAAAGGAACCCACTAGAATTACTGCGAATTCAGCGACATTGTTGGATTATATTTGTACAAATTCTGATGAAGGGAGAGTGAGTTGTTCAACAGTTGGTGCGGGTCTTTCCGATCATGAGGCGGTTGTGTGTGGACTGGAGGTGGAATGTGACTATGGCACAGTTAAACTGCCAAAAGAGTACAAACGACTTTACTCTACAGGTAACTTTGAGACATTTTTGAGACTCTGCGAGCATACAGACTGGACCGAGATTGGTAGATGTGAGAATTCTTTGTCGGAGTTGCATTCTGCTTTGTTGAGTGTTTTTTATAGATCTTTTCCGCTTAGAACCAGGAAGTGTAAGAGTAAAAAACTGTGGATTACAAAAGGTTTAAGAGTATCGGCTAGAAATATGCGTTCTTTGCATTACATTAGGAAGTTTTATTTGGGGAATGATGGTTTTATGCTTTTTTTCAACAAATATCGTAAAATATATAGGCAAGTAGTTAAAACCGCTAAGCAATTATATTTTAGAAATAGGATAGAGATGGCTGGCAACAAACAAAAGGAATCATGGAGAATTGTTAATAACTTAAGAGGAAAAAAGAATACTTCACCAATGGACTCAAATTTGACTGCCACGGAAATTAATAAATTTTATTGTTCGATTGCGGCTTCTCTTTCTAGCAAAATTAGTTCTGGGACTAACCCTAGAGAATATCTAAGTCACATAAGCGTATCCGAGTCTTTTTTCTTTAAACCTACTACAGCACAAGAAATCAGAGACACCTTAAAAGATATTAAAAATAAAAATTCTGCGGGATGGGATGAGATTACGCTGAAGGTCTTTTCGCATTTGCCCGAATCGGTTCTAGAGGTGTTTGCTGATTCTGTGAATCAGTCCTTTCAATCAGGGATTTTCCCTTCCTGTCTGAAACTTGCAAGGGTCTTACCTCTTCACAAGGGTGGTGACTGCGATACACCCTCAAATTTTAGGCCAATCTCATTGTTGCCTACAATGTCTAAAGTAATAGAAAAGCTAGTGAAGGCGCGTTTAATGTGTTTTCTTAAAAAACATAGTATTCTCTGTTGTGAACAGTTTGGATTTCGGGAGTCATGTGGCACAAATGATGCAATTTTCGCATTTTTGGAGAAACTATATTTGGGATTAAATAACGGTGATGTCGCAGCAGCGGTTTTTTGTGATTTGTCAAAGGCCTTTGACTGTGTCAATCATAAAATAATGTTATGTAAGCTGGAAGCCTATGGGGTGAGGGGGGTAGCTCTAAAGTGGTTTGAGTCCTACTTTTCTGAACGGGCACAGAGAGTTACTTTTGATGGTGTTGATTCAGAACAACTGGCTATAAGTGCAGGAGTTCCACAAGGATCTGTTTTGGGACCTCTATTATTTTTATTGTACATCAACGATCTGTCTAGCATTGATATAGTTGGGGTATTTACACTGTTTGCCGATGATGCCACGATTCTCTGGG